TGCCTTCATTGCTCAATCCTTTGAGTGTAGGAGTTGGGAAGTCACGTTGAGGTTGTACAGGACATTGGGGAGGCCTCTTCTGGAATACTGTGTCCAGTTCTGGTGGCCCAGTTATAGGAAGGAAATTATCAAGCTGGAGAGGGTTGAGAAGAGATTTACTGGGATATGGGTATGGAAGGTTTGAGTTATAAGGAAAGACTAGATGGGCTGGGACTTTTTTCATTGGAGTGTAGGAGGTTGAAAGGCAACCTGATAGAAGTCTATAAGATAATAAGAGGTATAGATAGAGTTGTCTTTTCCCTAAGATGGGGGATTTCCAGACTAGGGGGCACGTTTTTAAGGCAAGAGGAGACAGATTTAAAAAAGACATAAGAGGCAATTTTTTTACACAGAGAATGGTTCGTGTGTGGAATAAACTTCCTGAGGAAGTGGTGGATGCAAGTATAATTACAACGTTAAAAAGACATTTGTTAGATACATGAATAGGAAAAGTTTGAAGGGATATGGGCCAGGAGCAGGCAGGTAGGACTAGTTTGTGATTATGTTCAGCATAGACAGTTTGAACCAAAGCATCTGTTTCTGTGCTGTATGACTCAATGACTCTGAGAGAACCCCTGTATAGAGTGATCCCTTTCAAAGGGAGCTGTCAGATGTGTTAGTAAGACCTATTAAAAGAAGCTGGTCGAAAGGAATCTGTCAAATGTGTTTCGAGGACCTGTCAAAGTGATCTGTCAGAAGTATCAGGAGGATCTGGCAAAAGAACTTTTCAAAGGAAGTTATAAAGCTGTCATGACATTTAAATTTTTGAAAAAAAATGTTTGGAATGTGTGAAAAAATATTGATTGCTACTTCACTGTTGACATAAGCTTAAGGGGCTTCTACTACAGAATTAGTGCTGCATGACTGATTTCACAACCATCCATTGTCATAATAGGCTAGCTGTCATTTCACAGTTTGATTGACAGCTACAAGTTATGTACACTTTGATGTGGTCTATGAATTCAAGTTTTGTTGTTATCAGGGATTGTGCACTTAAATGAAATATTTGTGTTAAAATGTTTTATTTAGTTGAAGGAACGTAAATGTAATCAATGGAAATTTTTTTTTTATGAATGAGAGTATTTGTTCCAATACCGTGAAATCTGCAGTATATACTTAAAACTTTGTTTAATAGGACTTTATCATATCTCTGCTGTGCATGCATCCCAAGGATGTACATGGTGGATACTACTGGATGAATTGGTATGGTAGGTTTATAGCAAAAGCTGATGACTGGGGTACATGGGTTGGCATGAAATGGCACTAAGTTGACATAGGGGCTATACAGAACCATGTGGGATGTACTGTGGCATAGAGAATATGATGAACCATGGGAGATGGTGTAGAAGCATACCTTGCCATGGAGGGTATTAGGACTATGGGGATGGGTAGAGAGAAATAGCTTGGCACAGAGGTTTTAAAGGAGCAATAGTGGATGTGTGGGTAGCATAACTTGAAATGAGAGGCCATAGGGATTGTTTAAAAGGTATGCCTTAGCATTGGGAGCACAAAGGGCCAGAGAAGTTGTTTGGGTGGCATACATTGGCAACCATAGCATAATGGGCCATGGGATAGGTGGAAAGTATGAAGTGACATGGGTTGGCATGACCCATGGGACTGTGAGGGATGAGGACTGGAGAGATGGTTTCTGTTTAATTCTTTATTTTTAAACTTTGGACAGTGCAGTATCTTTGAGGTTAGCCATTTGCACAGCTTACCTCCATAGCTGGCAGCCTCTTCATATTTTCTGGGATCATCTTTCCTGACTTGAGGGTGGCAGAATTGCACAGTGGTTAGTATTGCTGCTTCGGTGACTGTCCACGTGAAGTCTGTACGTTCTTCCCATGTCTACATAGGTTTCCGTCAGGTGCTCCGGTTTCCTCCCACAGTCCAAAGATATGCAGATTAGGTGGATTGGCCATGTTAAATTGCCCTGCAGCATCCAGGGATGTGCAGACTAGGTGGATTAGCCATGATACATGTAGGGTTCTGGGGATAGGGTGGGGTGCTTTTTGGAGGGTCAGTACAGACTTAATGGGCCAAATGGTCTCTTTTGACACTGTAGCAATTCTATGATTTCTGGTCTCTTTGCTTCTATTCAGACCAGAAGTCCGATGTCCGTAAAGCCATTTTAATAGATTGATTTTATGGACCTGGGTATTCTCCTACCTCCGCACACTGAATCCATGGGTGAAACTTGGGGGCAATTTGTTCGGCTTCAGATTTTCTATTGGCAAATCAAAACCAAAAGCAGAAGTTAAAGCCGCTGTTATGTTCTCAAGGTAGACCACTAGTTTTAAAAAAGAAATTCAAATGTCTAGTTAGTAGCTGACAAATCTATAACACAAAATTTCACATTTTAACTGTAAAAGATTTACATTACAATATTTAAAATAAACAAGAACAGCTAATTTAACCCTATATTTCAAACTCTTGTTCCTTAAGCCTCAAAGTAACAAATCACTTTCTGAACTGATTTTACATTCCATTCAAGAGTTCCCCTATGCTTTCCAGAATATTGAGCTATTTCAGTTCTTCTGGAACCAACATGAGATATGTCATGATATTAAGAATTTACTTTAATTCTCCACAGCGCTTTTGTTATTCTCCAGGGTATGAGATTACTTAAAGGCCCTTGCTCCAGCATTCAGTCAGGCAACTCTCCATTTCTCTTTAAGCCTCTAGTGATTGTAGACACCCTTGCTCAACCAGAGACCAAAATCAGAAAATACCTCTTTCTGAAGACCCTTTGCTACTGATCTCATCTGCTTCCATGCACCCACCAGTAACACATTTTTCTCTGTCTTGTTCTCTGTAATATCCCTCTGTGAAGTATCTTCAGTACATGTTAGCCTTTTGTTACCTTTGGCATGACATTACCATTTGTAATTTAAGAGATATTGAACTAGGTTGCAGACTTGCTTGCCAAGCCAGTGCGTTTGATTGCTGTTGTTGAGTTCTGAGGAAGGGTCATCGGACCCGAAACGTTAACTCTGTTTTCTCCTCCACAGATGCTGCCAGACCTGCTGAGCTTTTCCAGCAACTTTGTTTTTGTTGTGTTTGATTGCAGATGTTTCATTACTCTGCCAGCTACCATCGTCAGTGCGTCTCCAGTGAAGCGTTGGTGTTCTGTCCCGCTTGTTATTTATACTGTTTGGCTTGCTGGGGTGGTTGGCATCACTTCCGGTTCTGTTTCTCAGTGGTTTGTATAGAGGGTCTAATTCAATGTGTTTGTTGATCAATTTCTGGTTAGAATACTAGACCTCCAGGAATTCCCTGGTGTGTCTCTGTTCGGCTTGTGCGATTATGGATATGTTGTTCCAGTCGAATTTGTGTTCCTCTTTGTCCATGTGTAGTGAGACAAGTGAGAATTGTCGTGTCTCTTGGTGGCTAGTTGTTGTTCGTGTATCCTTATTGTCAGTTTTCTTTCAGTTTGGCCTATGTAATGTTTCTCACAGTCCTTGTGTGGTATTTTGTACGTTACATTAGTTTTATTGGTTGTGGGTATGGGTTCCTTTTCATTCGTCAGTAGTTGTTGCTGGCTGGCCGTTGGTTTGTGGGCTGCCCTGATATCTAGGAGTCTGAGTAGTCTTGTGGTCATCTCTGATATGTCCCTGATGTATGGTAGGGTGACTAGTGTGTCTGGTCATGTCGTGTCTTCTTGTTGTGGTCTGTCGTGGAGGTAATGGCGGATTGTGCTTTTTGGGTATTGTTCCTTTTAAAAACTCTGTATAAGTGCTCCTGTTCTGCTTTGCCCAGTTCAGGGTTGCTGCAGGGTGCTGTGGCTCATTTGAATAATGTCCTGATGCAGCTCTGCTTATGGGTGTTGGGGTGGTTGCTGGTCTAATTAAGTATCTAGTCCGTCTGTGTGATGTTCTGGAGCTCCCCGTTGTTCTTACGTTCCACCATTATGTCTAAGAAGGGTTGTCGGTTATTGTTCTCTCCTTCTTTTGTGAATTTTATTTCGCTCAGGCTGTTGTTTATGTGTCAGTGAGTTTTTTTAGTTTTGTGTGTTTGATAAGCATGAAGTGTCAATTACATAGCGAACCCAGAGTTTGGATTGTATAGTGGGGAACACTATCCATTCGAACCTTTGCATTACCACTTCTGCATTCAGTCCTGATATTGCGGATCCCATTGGTGTTCCATTGATTTATTTGAATATATGGTATAGATATGGAATTAACTTCAGATTCTTGGTTGATCAAGGTTTTTATTTTCAATTTTTCACTATTCTGCAATCAACCCTTTATACGTGATCCCTTTTAGGACATGGAAGCTAAAAAATCTAGTTTGCTATTTGACTGTTTGTTTGGTTTCAGGTGGGAAGGAGCAGAGGGTGGGTGGGGCAGGAGCGAGCAGATCTGATTATTCTAGATACTTCATGAGATTCAACTGCAACAATTCTAACAATTGCACCAGGATTGCATCTATCAGTGCCCTCTTAAACTGGCCACGCTGGAGTTTGAGAGCTCTTTGATGGACAACCTGTTTATTTAGGCACAATAGGTATATCTGCCACTTAATGGCCCATCTTTGCCTCCTATCTGCCAACATGCCAATGGAAATTCATCTGCTGCTCTGAGGGATGGGAGAGGGTGATCGACCCACGTATACCTCTGACTCTTGATAATGCTTCGATTATCTGCAGAGTGGATGGGACTGATAAAGAATACAATTAATTTTAAATCTTTTTCAGTTGTTTGGACCATCTCTAGGTGTGGATTCTGTTAGAACAATTCATATGTGCCATTATGCTTGCTGACACCTTATCTTTCTCAATACTTCAGCTGTGAATACACCATCAAATTCTCATTCTAATGCAACATGTGTATTGCTGGAAACTAGCTAGATTGCATAGATAATGAGAGACCTCATCTGTTTTGCTGGATGTATGTTTGGGAAACTGACTTAAATGGAGGAAAGTAAAAGAGCCAAGTGTACTGTTCATATAATTTCAGGTGATAACACTCTAAGAGTCTGGGATGTAAAAGCAGGAGAAGCCAGAATAATTATTCCGGCTCATCAAGCAGAGGTACTGAGCTGTGATTGGAGTAAATATGATCAGGTAAGCATATAAAAATCAGTTGAATAAATCCATTTCAATTTGATGATTGTTTGTATTGTGATTCAAAGTATAATGGAAAAAATGATATAAAGAATAAATGTCCACTATATTTAATCCAGAATATGCTTGTTACTGGAGCAGTTGACTGTAGTTTAAGGTGCTGGGACCTAAGAAATATCCGACTGCCAGTACATCATCTCGTTGGCCACACTTATGCTATACGGAGAGTTAAAGTAAGTTAATTTACTGTTTCTGCCATTTAGCTTGTCACTGACAATTCATTTAAATTTGTTTTGGTGGTTAGATGGTTTAAGCTTGTGATTCTGTACGTGGTGTTTTGAGAAGTATTCGCTCAGGAGACTTAGCTTATTTAAACCTGCAAGTCTCATGTTATGTGTGACATGTTTCATTTCAGGATTTCATCAATTCCAGTTGTTAACAGTTAAACTGACCATTTTGTAGATTACTGGCTATTATACATGTTTAATTTATAAAAAATGTAAACATCAGTATGAAACATGTTAGGATAGGAAACATTACATTTTATTACTTTATATAAGCAATAAGATCTGGCAGTCCTTGATGGTTGATAATGGTTTTTAGCTTGGTTATTCCACTGGTGACATATCTGTTATGTGTTGTTGCTGTTTATTATTATCATTTATACTTATACCTCACTGCTTTGATGATTTACTTTTGATTACCTTGACATTTCCAAAATTTTTGCCAGGCTCAAACCTTTCTCAACACCTGAAGGGGCTAAAGACAATTAAGTCCCCTAACCCTGAAGGCTTGATTCCTAGTATCCTAAAAGACGTAGCTACAGAGATAGTGGATCCATGGGTTGTAATTTTCCAAAAGTCATTGGATTCTAGTGAAATACCAGAAGATTGTAAAACTGCTAATGTGACACCCTCCAATTCAAAAAGGGAGGGAGGCAAAAAGCAAGTAACTACAGGCTGATTAGCCTAACATCTATTATTGGAAAAGTATTGATGTGGAAAAGTATTGGAAGTGATAGCAGAACATTTGTAAAATCATAATCTAATGAAGCAGAATCATCATGGATTCATGAAAGGGAAAACATGCCTGACTAAATTATTAGGGTTTTTGGAGGAAGCCTCAGTCAGTTTGGATAGAAGAGAATCAGTATACATGTTGTATTTGGACTGCCAAAAAGCCTTCAACAAGGTATCTCACAAAAGGTTAAGCCATAAGAACCTGCAGTGTTGGAGATATTATATTGGGACAGTTAGAGACCAGTGGAGTTCCATAGGGATCAGTACTGGCACTGCGACAATGACTTGAAAGAAGGAAGCCATAGAGCCAAATTTTCAGCCAACACAGAAATGGTTGGAAAGGCAAGCTGTGAAGGGGATATAAACGGTTTACAGAGAGGGATTGATGGGTTAAAGAAGTATAATGAAGTATAATGTGGGAAAATGTGAAATTGTTCATTTTGGAAGGAAGTACAAAAGAAGAATATTATTTAAATGGTGAAAAACTGCAGAAAGCTGCATCACAAAAGGACTTGGAGGGTGCTTGTGCATGGAACACAGAGCTACCACACAGGTGCAGCAGGTAATCAGGAAGGCTAATGAAATTTTGGCCCTTATTTCAAAGATGTCGTAGTATAAGAGTAGGGAAGTCTTACTGACATTGTACAGAGTGTTGGTGAGACCACATCTTCAGTACTGTGAGCTATTTTGTTCCTCTTATTTAAGAAAATATATCATTTCATTGGAGGCAGTTCAGAGAAGGT